GCTTGATTTATTCTATCCTATTCATAACAACTTAACAACCCGTTTTTAAACAGAAGCAAATTTCATATTCCTTAAGAGCCACTTATCAAATTGAATTTGATCAATAGGAGTACTGATGACTTCCCATTGTCTTTTTTGAAAGAAACTATAACTCACATACCGAATCCGAAGTATGTTGAGGACTATGTTCAACAAACTACTAATAACCTAATTTCACGTTTACTTTCGAAGCCACCAACCGATGAATGAGCGTTTAAAATCTTTCTTTGAAATTTTCTTATTTAGAGTAATAAAGGGGGTTTGTCTAGGTTAAATAGGTTAAATATATATACGTATATATATACTTTTAGTGGAGTTACTTACAACGTTTAAAAATGAATTCCTTCCCGATTGCTATAAACGATTTTCATAAATGTGCATCAAACACCACTCTTTTCTCTGACTTCTTACTGTCTTTTTACCTAAAGCTATACTTTTTTTTCTTTTGGATTTATTTCGTATCTATGGATTTAATAAAAAAAATTAAAAAGAAATTAATTCGCTATTGTTAAAGCTTCTTCCTTCTTCTATCTGTTCGTATGTAGATATATATTTACTTATGTAATCGTTTCGCCGAATTTGGTTGATCATAAAACATGGCGAATATAACGTTATTAATTTGGCGGCGTATACAATTTTTGCTGTTTGCCGCCAATCACGCAAATTAATCAATTATGAAATACAAAACTAAATCAAACTGTCAGTTTCCATTTCTAACTTCAGCACAATTTGTTCACCTTCGTTATATTCTTTCATATCGACGACATACAACAACGTGGATTATCTAGAAATGTCTAGAATCTATTGTTCTAGAATTGTATGCAAAAGAAACTAAGGGTCAAAATCGAAACCTGGATCACCTTTAGTAACTTCAACAAACATCCATTTGTAGGAAAACCTTACACATCTCATAAGGTAAGTGTATACAAGGAATACAAAATTGCTAAGGACACACCACCGAGATTTCCAGAAAAACTATGCGAATCTCAGATGGGTCTCCTTTTAAAAATATTTTCCAAAAAATCTCACTACTTTTTGCATGAATTTCGTTTAATTTCTTGATTGAAACATTGTGAATAATGATCTTAATGATCGTACTACATCAACTTTAATTAGAATTTTTATATATGATAATTTTATTTGCAAAAAAATTTTTAAAATAAAAAATTCAATAAAAATGATTCTATAATGCATCTAAATAACTACTTTTTTTTGGCTTATTTACTACATTAATTTACATCTCTCGCGATGTATTGTTCATACGGCGGCATACAACAACAATTTTTATTTTATTTTAAGTTTTTCTTTGCCGCTTGTTGGAACAGAGAGCCGAACTTGTTGGAACAGAGAGGCGAGAGAAGTGTTGCCGCCGTACTTGTATATACTTGTACATATTACAGTAAGTTACTACATATGCATATAAGTTACAGTAAGTTACTACATATGTATGTAACAGTAAGTTACTGTTACGCAGAACAACTTTGACGATTAGGAGGAAAAACGTTTTGATCAAATTATATATATTTATTATTTACCGATGAAATTATCAAATTGAACAAAAGGAAGAAAGGGAAGAGTTCCAAAGGTAGAAAGGCGAAAAATAGATGAAACAAGACCACAAATTAATGGAAAATCGAAATGAATAGTTCAATGCGTTTTATACATTTCTCGCATTTAATAAATATAAAATCAAACATTGAATTTCTAATTTGTTTCCTCCTATTGATCATGAATTTGTTAACAACTTGTGTGAATTTGATCACAGCTTAAAGTAAGCGTCTATATTTGGTCCATAGGAGGGGGCGGTAGCTGGATGTATGTACAGCAAAACGGTGGATAGATTATCTGCAATAAGCGTAACTCTATGGAGCCTTCAGGACGTCGTTTCTACTTGTAACTCCAAAGCATAAACAACCTTTTATTAAAGTTATGTTTACTGAAGCTAGATATTGTGTTGTGAATATATTTTCTTACTTGCTTTTTTCTTTTTTTTTTGATTTAAAATATTTATTAATAAGGAATCGAATTATTTATTAAGTATTTAAATCAAAATGCATCTTTATTATAGTTTTAACACAAGGATTTTATTTTACGAACAAAATTTTTAATAAAGAAAACTAAATTATAGTAATACGATTGTAACAAAACAAAAGAATACATATAAAAAATTATTGTGTTTGTTTTTTTTCTAATGATAACTGCATTTAATATTTATGATATATAAAGTATTGTAAAATTTCTTTTTAATAAAAATGCAGTTTTTGCATTGGACTTAAGGAAACCTAAATTTGGGCTCTAAAAGTCTTCGCTCTCTTTGATGAATGCTTGGAAAGGCAGATTATTCAAGCTTACCCGCCAACAAACGCTAGATACAATATTCATATACAAAGATTCATTCTTAAAGATAATTTTTTTGTGATTAACTTAAACTCTAAAGGGATTAAAATTTAATTATCTTTATTTAACAAATAAATAAGAAAAATATTCATTGCTCTATGCTTCTAAAGAACTTTTATTAAGTCAAGCTTAACTCTTATACACAATTCGTGCGTGAAAGCAATTTTTCTATTTTCATGGTCTGTATTTGTTTACAATTGAGAATAATTGAAAAAGTCAGTCTGTATTTGTAAACAACCGTCTGTTCCATTGAAAAAACGACTATGAATATGGCCACATCTGAGAGTAAGCGTCTGTATTTTTTTACAATTGAGAATAATTCAAAAATTCAGCTGTTTAACTGGCTGTTGTTATTCTTGTTGGAATTAGAATTTTTCGTGTGCAATTTTTCGACTTTTTTGCCTTTTTCTTTTCGTTTCTTCCTTCTTTCAAGATTTTCAATATTTTATTTCAAGGATAATGTTAAAAAGCCTCAAAAGAAGATGCTTATCGTTTGCTGAGAGAAACTAAATTTATGGAGGGCAAAAAGGAGAAGGAGTGGTATTGGGAGAAGATACAAGAGACCTTACGCAAAATTGGCCTTAAAAAGACTATTATACAATGGAAAAAGGTAGGTTGTTGCTGAAACGGAATATTTGGATTGGTCTCTTTTGGGTCCGAGTCTACTATTTCCTAATCAATATTTTAATTGCGTAGTTCCAGAAATATAGTTACTCTGGTTCACCCTAATTTGGGTTACTCAGGACTTAATGCCTTACTGCCTGCGCGATCTACCTGACATTAGCATGTTGAAAATCGTTTTATATTTACTTTTCTGTTTGGAAATTTGTGCTCATTCACATACAGACTTATTTACCATAACTTAAATCAAGCATTGCGGTCAATCAAGGCACTAGTACGAATACGAACAGCCGTAAGTGGTATTTCTTCAGCTGGGACAAAAACACATTACTCGTTTCCAACGCCGACAATTTAACCTCTGTGGATAATAAAACTTTGGACGATGGAAGTAGAAAAAATGCTACTGTCGTAGCTTCAAACAATAGCTACGGACAAGAAGCAGCTTTAGAGGCGGATGAACCTAACTCAAACGTTCCGCAAATAAATGCACAGAGCCCTCCCACTGCCAAACTTGCAGTAGGGCAGGAAACATTGCAGTTTATATATACATTCTACTTAAATGTAAGAACATTAGGATAGGCGGGAAACTTCTCTGCAGGTACTGTTTATGGATCGAACAAAATCAAGACCAAGTAAACAAAAAAAATAAATAATGAAATAAAGAAATAAACAAATAAAATAAATTAGAATGAGTTGTGAAACACAATCATAAATTTTGTATAATTCTGTCAATATTTTTTATATATATAAATGCCAAGGAGTGTTTCATATTCATCTTGTTTCTATCGCACTACCTATTTTCAGCTTTTAACCGGCGTTTTGCGCTCTCAATTTACTCACGGTTTTAACATTATACTCTTATTTGTATGCACTTATCCAGATGTACGAGCGCATTCACGTCTGCATGGATTAATAATTAATTAATAATTCCATAAGTAGAAACATAAGGTATAAATCATATTCTGCCTAAAAAATAAGAAATCTTATACGAAAATATAGATTTATTAAAAAAAATAAAGTTACGTTAGAAATTAAACATCCTATATATCCTCCAATAATGCAAAGAAATAAAGTTATCGACTTTGGGCGCTAAACACAATTTGCGTGTTTGCGCGACTAAGTAAACTTTTTAAGAGTGTGTCGTGTGGTCGATGAATTTTACGCGGGTATTTTAACTGAATGAGAAGCAAAGCGAACAATCACAAATGTAAAGAGTTTTCCAAATCTTATTTAATTTGTCTTTTTGAACAACTAACACTCTAAATACTATTTTAAATACTCTTTAAAACATGTACATATATATATATATATATATTCCAAACATGCTAGTAACAGCTACTATGCCTATGATCGCAGCTTTCCTCTGTAACCTTGTAATAGACCACAAACGTTAGCTGCCAAATTCTCCTATTCTAACATTTTTTTTCTTTTTCTTTCTTTTCTAATTTTTGACAACTTTACGATTGTGTTGTTCTTTATCAACTGCCAATTGGAGAAGATTTTCAAAAACTCTTTGAGAGTAATTAAATGAGCGAGTCTGAAATCCTGCTCAATTCACAAGCATCTGAGAGTAATTAAATGATTCTGCCGGCTATTATATATCTTCAGATATTTGTACATAGCCGTCTCTGTACACGTAAGAGAGTGTTTGGCAGTAGACTATGCGGTATTGAAACAGTATCGTTTGGGTGTTCTGCTGTTACTTGCTCAACAGTCAGAATTTAGTAGAAACAGTAGAAGCAGATATATCTTAGAAGTTAAAAGTTGCGAGATATTTTTGAAAGCGGAACAAAAGCATTGATTGTGAAATCAATAATCAAGTGTTAATAATTTTGTTTTATTAATTTCGATTTTCTTCTTTTTTTTGAATATGATAAAAAGCAAACACCAACACACAAAAAAATATGTTTAAGTAATTTGACGCCCATTTTAAGTAAAAAAGAAATTAATTAAAATCAATTTTTTATCTAAGTTGAATGTGTGGAGTACATAAGATGGAATTTTTTTTTATTAATTTTGTATCAACCATAAGTGGAAATATTTAAGTATATACATACAAATACATCTTTTAAATAGTTAGTTACCTAATATTTATTCGTGTACGTGTTCTACCATAAAGTGTATCCATAAACTTAGTCGTTCGTATTCTATCGTGACCATTAACAGCCGTGCAACTACAGTGTGTTGTAGTCTTTTTTGTCGGCAGACCCTCCACTATACGCCGGTACATATACACAAAAGTGAGTGAGTCGCAAGCATGTGTGTATACCTATATGCTGTTATATCAGATGTACAAAAGACTTAATGTGCACAAGTGACGTAGTCTGACTTGTTACTTTGTCATATAATTTTATAAACATAAATCCAAGTAATATATTGTATATACAAAATTGCATCTTAGCTGTGTATATGAGTATACGCGAAATGTACGTGTGTGAACGTGTAATTTTCCATTTCATCATCATTTAAAAATTTCGTATTTATTTTTATGCACATGTGGAAAAGTTCGCGTTTCAGTTGATTGGAAATTCTAAAATAGTCCATCTCCGTTCAACATACCAAAAAAAAAAAGAAAAGAAATTCTAAAATTTGGGCGAACATAATTAAATAAATCTCATTGAAAATTCTAAAACGTAGGAAACTTTGAGATAACAGCAGCCAGTTGCCCGCAGCTGGTAATGCTAAATATTATTATTGTTATTACAATTCATTTATCATAACGAAACAAATTCTCGGGTTCGAGTAAGATTAGAATTAGCGGCTAAGACTATCGGTCCTATTTTTAAGATTGATTAGATTAGTCTAGTTAGTTTAATAGAGTTGAAGAGATTACGAGGTAAGTTGGCGTGTTGCAATCGTACGATCAAGACAGACTCTTGTAAATGATCTGATATTAACTTTCTTGACGTTGCTTAGATACGATGGAGGAACAAAATTAGCATTAAAATTAGAATAGATTAAAACAGAGCCCAGCACTATCGACTTATTTCGTCAATTTTTTAAAATTTTTTCTTTCAATAGATCTTCTAATCTTTCCTTTTTCGTATCTTTTTCATCTTACGGCTCGATACTCGCAAAGTTGTAATCTTATGTCACCAAGTGCTAACGGTTTTCCTTAGTGGATGGAATGGTTGATGAACAACTGAAATTTCGTAGATTTCGAATAGTCAGGCAGGCTATCTACGATGACAATTGTTTTGGGTTTGCTTTCGCGAGCAAGGGTCGTGGCTATTTAGCTTCGGTTGGATATGTTAAAGCGCTTTCCTATAAGATGTAATTAACTCGAGCTTTCTATTCCTTGAAAAGAGAAAATAATAATAGTTGCACTTATTCGCTCTGTTTTTCATATGACATGGTATAATATATCACATATATACATACTTTGTTCATTTTTAGTGCGTCAGTTGACCGAAAGATTTTTTGTCTATGGAGATTACGACTTCTTAAAAGACTCGGAGCCCTGTCTCAATCAAGAATACGACTGTTTCGTAGATTCACAAGCTGAAACGCGGTATACGACCATTCTTTTAAGCGATTTAAAAAAGATGTCTAAAAGGTTGTAATTTCTAAACATACTACCTTTTTGCCAAAAGTTTTAATAGTCTAAGATATTATATATTCATTGCCTCAACTGTTAAGTCATCAACACACAATTCAGCTTCATTCGCTAGGATCACTGTTTCACTAATGCTCGTTACTTTATTGCGTGCGAAATTTATGATGAGCCATGGTACATTCTTTTGTATTATATTATATGACCGTTGTGATTTTTTATTATATTATATTTATTATATTTATTATAGGTTGGTGGAAAAGTTTTGTTGTATTTTGTTATCCATAGGTAATTTTCCTTGTTAGGTCAAGCTAAGCGAATAAAATGTGTCATATAGAGTTTCATTATTTAGCGTGTCTCCCGCATATATAAGAGGCCTGCTTTCAATATCCTTTATCAGTTTCTTGCGCAGGGCACAGTGTGTGCAGTGGATAAAGGGTAATTAAGACATTGCATTTGGTATGAGTTCCACAAAGGAAACAACACATTGGCTGGCAGGTGAAGTTGTAACTATTCGGCCCAGGGCGATCTACCATTTTCAGAAGAAGGCTGACCTGGGAGGCAATGGCAATTAACGATCCATGGTGGAGGGTAACCCGTATCTAGCCAGTTTGCAATGCAGAGCGAGTCGACGCCTGATGACAGCTGAAGAAGACATCATACTAAAAATTGAAGATTTTATTGGAAACGTTTTACGTAAAGTTTGGCAGAACTTTCCTTCCAACCTAATAGTATGTAGCAGCGCATTACTTGTGCACTATATCGTGCGATTACTTCTTATCCCGACCGCTGCGAGTACTACATATGACATCAGTTAATAATTTCTGGTACCGGCACATAGACGCCACTTCTAGCTCATGTTATATAAAAGAGTCAAAAGTTCGAATGTTACGCTTTTTAATAGAAAAATATACTTGAAAAGAATTCTGGCAACTCTTCTCCTTTGAAAACAGGAACTTGTCAGCGATCTTTTGGTTTTAAACGAGATCGTGCGGATGCAAATGATGTTTAACGCAGTGAACAGAAAACATTAAAAAATCCGTAAAAGTATACTCGATAATTAATTAGAGACTTTGCAAGAGATCGGTGACATCGTGAACATATGGAAAGGCTGAGTATTTACTATTTTGCATAAAAATTTGACAAGAGAAAGCTGTTGTGAGTATCGCATCTACTCTCCATGAAAAAAAAATTCTTATTACAAGTCAATGGCTACAATTGCCGAATTGGATGAATTGACCGCCTTTGATAATATGGTGATAACAGGACCTACATACAAATTATGAGTAGTTTTTCGAGCTTTACCTTTGGGGAAACATATATAAGAATTAAAAATACTGGTGGTTTAAATTCAGTTATTCCTACAAAAATTTGAAAAAATAGTGGAAAACGCTATAGTGGGATACGGATCACCATTAAATACCTCACATCATTCTACGTACAGATATTCATATGATGACTTTTCAAAATAAAATGTTATAAGGAAAGTAGTCGAAGAAGTGGTCCAATTCCGACAATTTTCAAAGCCGTTCGTCCTTGGTTTAAAACATGTCGGTGTAAAAATTGCGACTTGGTTGAGCACAAAAAAAGAAGGCGGACAGACAAGCTTAGATCGATTCAGAAAGTGATTATGAATAAAAGATGGATCTAACATAAACTTAGTATACTCTTGCAACGTACGCGCTGTAGAGTATAAAAATAATAATTGTCTTTAGAGAACAGCTAAGGCTTTATCACCCTCCAAGCTTAATCGTAAAATAGAACTAATTAATTTCCTAAACAACAAGTGTTTCCAAGGTGTGCATTAACGTATTTCCGTGCATTAAACCTTTAATTATATTATATGTGTCCATATGCATAATTAAACTTTACATATACATCTTTCGTCCCAGTGGATAAGTAAACGGAGAGAATTAGATTATGGGTGTAATCACGGTAAGGTGGTGCTAGTGTAGAGAGCTAATGGAAGACACATAAAACACAAAACACGTTAATAAACATCATGTTTGTCACCGAATTTTGATCAATCCAAATACCATGTTAACTCTTTGATTTGATTGCTACCTTGTTTGATATTCTTCATGTAAAGCTTGATTCAAAAGAGCGTTTGTTGCCGGTAACGTCAAGTGTTAGTTGATCACAGATTTCTGATCCTATTAAACACAGAATCTTGTCTTCCATGGTTTTGCAGTCGATATCGCTTGGAGTTATCCATGATCTTTTACGTCAAGTGTAATCAGTTTGTTCAAAGTATATCAAATTTTTATCGCCAGCTACAATTCGTTGAACAAATTACTGCCTTTTGCTTTCGGAAAAGTTTTTCTGTTTTTTCGTTCTGTTTTTTTTATTCTGAATATTTCTGAATCTTGCCTGTGTCTTTTATCAAGACAGCTTCTTTTGTCGCTTGTCATGTTTAATTGATGCGCGAGTTGTTGTTATGCTTAAGCGTCTCATCTAACCATGCTTGCAATTTGCCAGCCTCAAACTCTTTCGACAAGGTCTTTCATGTTCTTCGCTTCCCACATCAAAATGTCCAATTATAAATTTTTTATATCACTTAAAGCGTTGTGGTTTACAAAAAGCATGCCCACCGTAGACTTTAAGAGTTTCAAGTAAGCAGATATCCGTAGGAAAACGACGCTAGTGGTATGCGGCTTGACAGCTATGGCTGTCGGTGAGCAAATTCGGGTTTTATATTGACATAGCTGGTCAGTTTTAATTTTAATGATAAATATTTAAAAAAATGAATAGAATTCCTAATGGCCTAAGTCTTTCGAATGTCTTTGTTCTTAACGAATATGTCATTACTCTGGCAATGCTATAATCTTTTCGCTACAGCGGATTTCTCATTTGTGGTTTTAATGCCATAGATGAATTTCGGCGTATTTCGCAATTACCTTGGCTAGGGCGCAAGTTAAAACCTTACATATTTGGCGAAAACGATTGATAACTACTCTGCACCATTCCACAAACGAGATCTCCAAAGTAACATTTTAAATAGGGAACTGCTATAAAAACGAGCTGATTTAGTCACTTTCAACAAAATCTTCCAATCAAAAGAAAATTGAAAAATTGAAAATAATTTGCTCAGCGTATAGGTTGAATGCATAAATACATGAACAGAAATCAGACGGACAAATGGACAAACAAACTTAAGTCTATTCAGGAAATATTATTATTATTATTATTTTAGACTAATGAAATAAATTCTTAGACTAAAAAAAGGACATTGAGCACTAGCAGCACAGGCCATCGGCTCTAATATAAATAAATGTACATTAGATAATGAGCTTAGTAGTATTAATAAAGTAATATATTGAATTTATATTCGGTTCTGAAGCTGATTTTAGAATTGTCCAAAAAGCCCGTTCCAAATTAGCTGCATCTGAGAGTAATTCAAAGAGCCCCTCCCAAATTGGCTGCATTTGAGAGTAATTCAAAAAGTCCGTCCGAATTTGTTTACAATTGAGAATAATTGACAAAGTTAGTCTGTATTTGGCAACATCTAAGAGCAATTGAAAAATGGTAAAATTGAATAAATGTTAATTTAATTAAAAATCATTTACAAAATAAAATAAAACTAACATTCGATTTGTGCTTTTTCTTAGTATGAAATGATATTTAGACACAAATTGCAGCACATTAGCTAACAATTTCATCTATCTTTCCAGGATGAAAGGGCAAATCTACCGAACTTTCTTTCTAGGCCGCGGTTATAAAAAAATGTAGACAAAATAGATAAAGGGTTTCAATGACAAAGCGCAGAAAAAGAAACCGTTTTACATTATAGGGCAAAAAAAATATATTATATAAATATAACCCCAAAGAGCATACATAGACATATTCCTGCCAATATATATCTATCTAAATATATATAAATATATAAAATACATCAAACCAAACGGGTCGCAAGTTACGCCAGTGATAATCAATTGCATAAGTGCACTAGTAGCCAAATAAAGGAATATTTTTTTGATAATTTCCTTGCTTTTTTTGAGGTATTGAACGTTATAATAGTTTGTAAAAGTTTTAGGTGGTGCGTCAAATATACGCAAATTTCCGTCGCAACTGACTGCCGCCTCTAAATTTATAAGTTCAACAAATTTCTCTTCGTCCAGTCTATGTTTGCTCGCTTGGTCCTTTTACGGTCTTTTGCACGGGCACTGCAATCCAAGTTCCTTTTTCCCTTATATCTAAGCAAACCTAGAACAAAAAGTAACAACAAAATATACGCAAACAAAATGTTACTATGATTGTTGTAAACTTACCTTTGTTTTACTTATTTCTTATGACTTTGTTGTTATTGCTCCTGTACTTTTTCGAAATGATTATCAAATGAGAAAACCCACACATAATCCAGTTTAAATGACTTTTAAGTCACGTCTCGGAGATAAAAGCTACTTAACTAAATTGTACATAATCAACATCCCTAGGACATATAGGCTACAAATCTATTGGCTTAGTCCATCTCTACTCAACAAACTAAAAAAATAATAATAATAATAATAATCAATATCCCTACTTTAAAGATGCATTAAACAATACTTGATTGAATTTTTAGTTATGCAAACCCTATTGTGAATGGTTTCTTCTCAGAAAATCAATCAAGATATCGATTTTGCTTAAAATTTCTGCAAATAAAAGAGGTAAAAGTGAAAAAAAAATTAGAAAAGCGGAAAGAAATGTTAAGAGAGGAAAATTTGGCAGCTAACTTTTGTGGTCTATTACAAGCTTACAGAGGAAAGTTGCGGTCATAGGCATAGTAGCTGTTACTAGCAAGTTTGGAATATATATATATATATATATATATATATACATATTCGATCTACATGTTTTAAAGAGTATTTAAAATAGTATTTAGAGTGTTAGTTATTCAAAAAGACAAATAAATAAGATTTGGAAAACACTTTACATTTGGGTATGTTCGCTTTGCTTTTCATTCAGTTAAAACACCCGCCTACAATTAAAAGGTTTGCATAGCATTACTTGTAAGATCTGTTATGCAACTATTCACTTCAAAAGATAATGAGGATAACAGGAAAGAAGGAAAACGAAAGAAAGTTGAGCGCTCACGCAAGAGGATATTAATGCAGAAGCGTTACTTTGCTTAATAGTAATTTAACAATGAACACAAAAATGTTGAGCGTGCATGCATTGCTTAGCATTGTTGTAACTTCATAACAATATTTCTGCTTTTATTTACTTATTTAGAAATGAGAAAGGGATAGAAGGAGAGTAGTTGCAAGCACGTGTACACAGAATTTGTACATTATCAACGATTGCATGAGAAAAATTTACTCTCTTTAGAAATGACGATACAGTTCTTAATAACTGCCGGTTATGTAATTGTTGGTGGTTCATTAAATACACATGAGTCTAATTGAAGCTGCGTTAAAAAAATTTTTTATAGTATTTTTACTGTTAACTAGCACTTGACGTGCATTTTTCATTATCGTCGCATATTGGTTTATTGATAGTGATCAATAAGTAAATATCGGAAATCTTAATGGAACCCACATCATAAATGTTACTTTGTTTTATTGTATTTTAAATGTTTTTATGGTTTTGTTAGTAGACCGAAAACGATTTACAAATAAAGTTGTATGGCTTCTTAGGTTATAAAGGTAGTAAACACACATATGCTCCCAAATATATGAAGCTGATTAAGTATTGATATGCAAATACTATATATGCTTAAAAGCTTATGCACTTATACGTAAATCAAATTAAGGTCATCGCCGTCGTCTTGAAAAGAAAAAGTTGAAGTTAAATAACTTCAACTTTTTCATACGTTATTGAATCTTTGAACAGTTAACGACTAGTACAACAAGATTATAAGCAATGGCGCAAAATGTGGACACTTCCTTTATACCTGATCTTCCTAAAGGACCACTATGTGCATATCGTAAACGCGCAAATTTCGATTGGAAACATTTAAGACTTATTTTTGAAAACGAGCAATCATTACGGATTAAGGTAAGTGATTGCTTTATACGAAAGTTTTCTTCATTTTTTCAAGTTTTCATTTGCAGTATAAAGTTTGGAAAATCTTGGAGCATGACCCCTTATTCTCTCAGCCCATTTCTACTTTACCCACCGACGAACAAAAACGCATTTGTGCTATGCAGACCAATCGTATGAAACAATTGGATTTAGTTCCTAAAGAAATTGAAGAGAAATCATTTTGCGAGAAAACCAAATATTTAATGAGCATTAACGAGGCATTGCATGTGTACTGCCCCAGCTTGTCGGTGAAAATCGCTTTAGGCGTGGGTTTATTTAATAACGCCATTCGTGCCATGGGTACAGAACGTCATAAGAAGTATTATGAAGCGGCTTGGCATCGCGAAATTGTCACCTGCTTAGCGATAACCGAAGTATCTCACGGCAGCAACACAAAAAGTATACGCACCACGGCCACTTATGATCCCACTACCCAAGAATTTGTTATAAATACACCCGATTTTGAGGCCGCAAAGTGCTGGGTGGGAAATTTAGGTAAAAGTGCCACTGTGGCAATGACTTTCGCCAACCTTCACACTCCGGACGGCGTAAATCAAGGTTTGCACGGTTTCCTAATACCTATACGAGATCCGAATACGTTACAACCTTACCCCGGATTATTAGTTGGTGACATCGGTGAAAAAATCGGGTTAAATGGCATCGACAATGGTTTCGTTATTTTTAATAATTATCGCATACCTCGCGAGAATCTATTAAATCGCACTGGTGATGTTACACCAGAGGGTATTTATGAAAGTGTCTTCAGTGAACCGGGTAAAGTTTTGGGTGCCGCTTTAGAATCGTTCTCAGCAGGTCGTATTGGTATCATGCAAGAATCAGTTAATACACTTTCTAGTGCTGTAGTAATTGCAGTCCGTTACGCAGCTTTAAGAAAACAATTCGGCCCGGAACGTAATGGACCTGAAATACCTATAATAGAATATCAGTTTCATGTAGGTGTTTTTGCAAGCATTGAAATATTTAATAAAATTAATAATAAAATTTTTATCTTAGCAATGGCGAATATTTCCCTATCTAGCCGCTGCGTGCGTTTTAAAAATTGCTGTTCAGGAATTAACCAACGAATATTTAAAAATCATTGAGCGATCGCAAGGCGACTCCAACGGCTTCGAACTGCTGGTAACGTTTTGAAGTTTTTTTAATAAAAGGAAGCCTTATTAGGCATTTTTAAAAAGATAGGGAATGCTTTTGACGAATTAAGCGACTAAGAAATGATAATTTTCAAAAACCCATGCTCCATAAACGCTTCAAAGAAACGTCTTCTCCTTACCTGTTTCTTTTCAAGTTATTCGAAATAATTATTTTAATTTCTTTTGTCATTTCAATTAGATTAAGTCAGCAAGTTAATCATTACACATTACAATACCTTCAATAATTTTCGGAAATTGTCATAATTTTGTTTTCAAATACATACATATGCGATGAATTGTAAGGTGAGTGTGCACGATTAGAACCCGCAGGTATAATTTGAGAGCCATAGGTAGCGAAGATAACATAAAAGTAGGGTAGTTGGGAACTTTTTAACAGTGCGTTTTTAAAACAAAACTTTTTATTTTACTCACAAGAGTTACGAGAGTTCAATATATTAAATGAGTCGTTGGCGGAGGCTTTGTGTAAATTTTAAGAAGAGAACCAGTGGATTCACATCCAAATTCGAAACCATGGATGGAAGTAATAGGCCACAATTTCATTTTTTTCACTTGTTACACATGATTGATTCGTAATTCAATCGCCAATGTTTCGCAAGGTAATCCAAAAGTATTTTTCAAAAAGCCAAACAAGATCGCACAAAACATGCGTGCTATTGATAGACCGCTTAAACAAATCCGATCGGCGAAAAACCATTTACAGTTGAGTTGGTGTCACACAAGATCTAGCTTACTGACGTCATTGCAGCGGGAATCGCCTTATATTACATTATATGATATACGTTGTGTGGATGTGGAGAATAGTCGGGAAGTTTATAGCGTTAAAAAACAATTACTGTCATTTCACACCAAATATCATGGATCTCATTGACTGCACTTTCATGGCATAACACCGACTTTGAGCGCGCACTCCTACTGTCAGAAACTAGCAACGTTATGGACTTCCGTTTGCCTGTAAGCATACTAACCGCATCCACTAACCATAAAAATTTGCCGTTGCTTTTGCAACTTTCTCTCTTTCCCTCTTTCGAATGCTTCTCAGAATACGCCAGCGAATGGTAGTGGAGACTTTGCCACAATAGGCACAACTATAAATTCACGTATAATTGACAGCAATCTATTAAAAGAAGATTTAGTAAAGGAAACTCGTGAGCCAGCGTTGAGCGATTATGGTTTAAAAACAGATGCCAAGCGTTTAAGTGCAAAATTCAACCCATTTGAGAATAAACCTCCACACATTTGCTTACATTTTTCAATAATTGAACATGTATTTGTATAATCTAATGGCGCTGTAGAGAATATAAGCATATTGTCTAATCGCTCCTTAGAGAAAACAGCGTATATGTTCTCAATAATTGTTCTCAAGCTTCAGGACCTTGTATCTACTGAAGGAATTCCAATTCAATTTTAAGAACCTCGTTAAATAACAAGTAAAAGGCTGTAATTAGGTTAGGTTTAGCATTTATTTTTAATCTCGAGTAACGTCTGACCTTATAATTTACATATTGTAAGGTTAAGTAAGTTAAGTGAGGTAAAGTTAAGATTAAATAAGGTACGTTCTCTCGGGCAAATCTTTTCATTGCTAAATCGACAAATGACGACAGCTCATATGAAGGCGACAATTTTATATTATAAATTTGCTTTATGATGCGCAAATATTCTCCAAGTTTAGAAAGGACAATTGGCATCGAATTTTCACGTAAAAAGTTGCAAATTATATATAGTATATAATTATAAATTATATATAAGTATATAACTATATATATTATAAGTATATAATAATATTTTTTAAATTTTCGTTTCCTGGACTTCTTTAATTTTTTATTAGCGTGAGTTTGTTACGGCCATATTATGCCCACATTGAAACACCATTTTTGAGTCTTTTATATCAATTTAGCTCAAAATGTTAAGAGCAAATTGAGATAGGAAAAGCACTGCTAACTAGATTTCGCATATTTCTCTGATTATGACAACGTATACATTTTAGAATCTTTGTATCAACCATTTTACGCGCGAGAACCGGATAAACGGACGCGGCTAAACCGATTAATAATGGTAAGGAAAGTGAGTCTGTGTTGTGTATGACGGATAACAAACGTTGTATACTTTCCTTGTTCTGTTAAAGTATATATGGGTATTTACTTATGAACAGCTTTCATAAAATAACTTTGTAAAGCTTTTGGATATATTTATTTTTAGACACAAATTGTTTCCGAAATACATGCGATTATATCATCGTGTAAGCCGATGATAACGTGGACAGCACGTGATGCCATACAGGAAGCACGAGAAGCTTGTGGTGGCCATGGTTATCTTAAAGCCTCAAAATTAGGTGATTTGCGAAACGATCATGATCCCAGTTGCACATACGAGGGAGACAACAATGTGCTGGGACAACAAGCGTCTAATTGGTTGCTAAGACAATGGACAAATAATGTAGAAAGTCCAGTGGGCACAGCTAATTTCTTGGGAAATCGTAAAAAGCTATTACAACAAAAATACGAAGATATTTTAGAGAAGGACCCGATTGGATCAATGAATTGTAAGCAGACAAGATAGATGAATTTCTAGGTTTACCAGATTATCTTTAATTCTTTTCGGTAGTTATCATACGTTGCTATGAATGGTTGATGTGCTACTTGCTGGAAACCACTTCAAATCGTATAAGCCACGGTATGCAAAATGGTCTGAATCGTTTCGATGCTCGCAATAATGCTCAGGTTTATGGAGCCGGAGAAGTGTCCTTAGTATATGCGGAATATTTTTGCATGACCCGTTTTATAGAACGTTTCAAGCAACCTGATATTACCCTAGAATATTCAACAATTCTTAGATTAATATTTGAAGTGTATTCCATGTGGTGCATGGATAAACATATGACTACATACTACGTGGGTGGTTTTGCTAACAGTTCAAAATTTGCCGATTTAATTAGAATGCGTTTATTAAGTAAGTGTGGCGAACTGAAGGATATTTCTGTGTCAGTAGCCGATGCTTTAGCGCCGCCCGATTTTGCGCTGAATTCGGTGATTGGCAAGTCTGATGGTCTTTTATATGAAAATCTTCAGAATGTTTTTATGACCAATGAAGGTGCCTTTGAAAGACCCGCCTGGTGGCAAGACATTGTTATACCGAAATTTAAATCTAAATTATAATTCGCCGTGTGAAAGATCTGTTCGAATGATTCATATTTTTTGTAAGTTCTTTTCTATTGCGTCATAGTTTAATAATTCGTAGTAGAGGAAAAGTTACAACCAAAACAATAGCATAGTAATGCAAAAAATTATAATAACAATAACGAATACAATCTCAAACGGCTTTTCGTATTTACATTTGTGTATATGTGTATATATGTATAGAAACATAAGAATACTTTTTTTTTTTATTATACATATATTTATGTTTGTAGCATCTTTTTGTATATAATGTATTTACATGTACTTGTATATGCTTCTATATTAGACATATTGTTGTTGCCGTTATTTCAGGGCATTAAAATCGTATTTATGATGTTTTTATTCATGTTTATATTATCCAAAAGTGTATTCCTTTATTTTACATTTACTATATAACGTACAGAGATATTTCGCTGTTAAATATTTAAGAAGATATATATTTATGCATATGTACGTATACGTATATAAGATTAAATCTCAAAAATTGTATTTAAACACTTTTTAAGCCATTATTCGAAACTATCTAAGGCAAGTATTCTCAACTCTCAAAGAAACGGTTATTTTATCTTTGCATAAGATTTGCAACGTTGCGTAGCCCAGGGTAAGATTTTAAGCTTACGTATATCGATCGGTCAGTCAACTCACCAATTTCCCGACATTTAGCGCAGTTTGACTGAGCATTGAAATCAGACAGTCTATTATTCAGGTCAGAGCTATTCTCATTTTATTAGTACGATTCGTACATAAAATACGTAATATAGATAATGAGATTTGGAGAGAACCTTATTAGGTCTTAGATCTGCTTTTTTTTGCATGTATTTATGTTATTCTTATAATAAACGTGTATTATATAGTAGAGCAACGAAAATTATTATTTGCTTTGGCTTCCACTTTAGAAATATATTTTTTTAAATTGTGGGAAGTTTTTGTGTAAATTCGTTTTATCAAATATTTTTGTAAGAATACTATATTATGCTATGTCAAACCCCCATCACTACTCTACGACCGTCATACTTGATATTACAAACTGGGTCACTTGATGGTTATGAATGATCGAGTTCTGATTTAAGGATGCCACAAAACGTATTTAATAACTTTAGAGCTGAGATATTAATATTGACGTAGAATTTTCTATAAACATTTGACACAATCTAAGAGCTCCATACGGGAAACTGATTCATTTGATTCGTATACGACTAAAAAACTGTTTGCGACAATTGAGTTCGCTTTTTAATTTAACCAAAATTGGTTTTAATACTAATGGCGGGAAACTGTTAAGCTCATATAGCAACAAGAAAAAGAAAATTGCACCGAGGCGTGGTTGAAATCCACTCCCATTATCTTCAAGAAAAAAACAAAAAAAATGGAAGCCTCGTTATAATATTAGATGCGCCCGATTTTCCCGTTTTCGTACGTATATGTAAGATCACATATAAAAGAACGTTATGTTTATATTGCATGAGATTCTTAGGCCGATCATTTCCAAAACCAACCAGGCTGCCAGATTTTCTACCAAACCTAATGTGTTAACTGTCTTGGCGGAAAGGACGGCCACTATAGCAGAGGGACGGGGAGACGGAATTAATATAAATTTTATTGAAATTTCTCTTTTTGTTGATAAATAAAAAGTTACCTTAGCTTGTAGAAGGAAAAACGCTTAGCAAAACTGCCGAACAAAAGCATAAAACCTTTATTTCAGTTTTTCCTGAAACGGTTAGCTTGAAAACATAAACCTACGCTTCTCTACGAAACTTATTAACCCTGTAATGTCAGAAATTTTACTTACCTACATCCTTCCATAAAAAATCAACTCAGTTATGATCTTATTTTTGTTGTCACAAGTTTGAATGACAAGAAAATAAACTTTCAAAGTTCTTAAAATCGTATTCATAAAAGTAAATTGCATACCTGCCGCCAAGTGGCATGTATATGTTTATAGCTTAAAGTTATAAATATAGACTACAGGCATACGCATACGCGGTCGAACACTGATATTCGAACTTGAAATTTTGCTTAATTTACTAAACGATATATCGCAGTGAAGTAAGAGACCCTTCACTTATACAACTAAATATTTTTGAGAGATACAAAATATTGTTCATATCCTACGGAGTTAAATTGTTCTAAAATGGTTATAAGAGAAAGATGTTAAATTGACGAAAAAGCTTAAGCATTTGTTCTTTAAGATAATAATTAGATGTAATAAGAACATGCAGAATGCATAAAGCAAAACATATATTCCTCTAATACTATTCGATCCGGGATTGTTTAAAACAATTTCAATGGACAAGGCATTCGATAAAAACGATACAAAATTTATACAAGTCTTACATTTCTAACTTGGTGTCGCCTTTATCATCAGGGGGGTAAGCAAGTGTGAAAATGTAGCTCTCGCTTTTATATCAAGCTGTTTGCAAAACGGCTGGTGAAAGCTTAAGTCGTGTAACTTTAAAACAAAAATAAGTAAGAACAAGTAAGAAAGTTATATTCGGCATATCCATTTTAAAATTAATCCAATTTTAGTAAAGTATATGGGTATAAAGTCTTTTAAAGTTTTAATTTAAAACTGGGCGGCTTAAGCGAAGACTTGAAACTATATTTTTTACAACACTATTTAATAGTTTTAAGGGTTCAAAAACTATAGCAATAAAATCAGAATTCCCTAAGCAGTTGAAGTTATATATCTTAATTATTACGAAAACAAATAGTGACCTTCAGTACCTCAGATTCTTTACAACAAAAACAAGTACATATTATGGTGAGCTATCGTGTTCGTCAAATTTGATATTTTTTACCGCAGACTTGCACCAGACTTGCACCCTTTTTAGAAATCTCAAAGTGATATCGGGCGTTTATATGGTTTTGTATTGGTAATAGATGTGCCGAATGCATAAATGCCATTCATTTAGCCAAAATTTGAGCGAAATATTTTTGTAAAAACCAAATTTATTATAATGACATTTACATTTTGTAATGGAAATTAAGTGAAACTGGAATGCAGACAATTAGCAACAATATGCATTCCATATCGAAAATTTCTTAGTGAATTTTATTTATACGAAAAGATGTTCAAGTGTCTATAATGTAAACAACTATCTATCACAAGGGATCATTTTATCCGACTTGCCACTGTCGTAAAAATGAATGTAGGTAGCTGAAATTTCTTGATCGATTAAGAAATCCAATGTTAAAAAAATGATAGCGCCCGCTACAAGAAGGAAATCAAAACGACCTCGAAGAAAAAAAACGATAATTTTTGCACATTTTCGTTTATAACATTCGATCCGGCGAAGATATGTCAGGAATTATGGCACCTAAATGTTCGTCGAATCCTGCCTGCATGTTTGATCAAAAACTGGCTTCAGTTATGCTGCTGATATGTTCAAAAATTAACGATAAAAT